AAAAAATCCCAAAAAAATTCCGATAAAAGTGCGATAAGTATCACAGAAAAAGCAGACTACCTTCATTGCTCGTTGCTGCTGAGCTGCCCATTCAGCCGGCGTCGGTCCCTGCGGCATTCGAACGAGTTCGGTTTGCTGCGGTCGTAACATATGTGGTGGGTAGCCGATAGGAGCTCCGGGATATCCGGGTTGACTGGGAGGCATTCCCGGATATCCCGGATAACATGGGTAACCAGGCGGCCGGCCTTGCATAAATTGCGGTGGATAGGCTGTCGCATATGGATGCGGTTGTGCTTGATGAGATGGAAGTTGTTGTTGTGGAATCTGTTGCGGAGGGAGCTGCTGTGGAGCTTGAGATTGACCCTCTAAAAGTAAATTTACATGCGATTAGCATCTAAATGATAGCAAAATTTCATACCTGATTGTTGGGGATGACCCGCTTGCTGCTGAGAAGGTGATCGAGGTTGTTGCCATTCTTGCTGTTGCACTCCTGTTAGTTGAGCATGTTTCGGCGGTCCATTGCCATGGTTCATCGACCCAGCTCCTGCAGCTACCGCAGCGGCTGTGGCCGCGTACCGATCAGCTCCGAACGGTGTGCCACCGTTCGATACGCTTTGATCCTGAACAGTGGATAGCATTATATCAGACCAGACCTTAAAGATATTTGCGCCTATACTCTGTGAAAGCATCTAAATGACTATCAAATCAAAGAATGCAAAAAAACAAATATTTGTATTTTATGTTGAAAAAGTGATGAAATATGTGGACATTCCCTACAACCGCTAGGACGTCGCTGCTGGGCCTAGATAAAAATCCCAGACCGTACTAGTGTAACTTTTCTAAATAAATCTCCTGTGCTCTAATTTTGAGAAATTGAGAAGAAAAAAAAAACGCTCCTACAGAGTAGCAAAGTGTATTTGCTTAGCGTCCACTAAGTTGCGAGATACTGACCATGAGTGGCCACAAATTGCTGGTGACGCGTTCTTTTTTTTTACTATTTTGCATCTAATGTGCATATAAGCACACTCTATGTCTGCTGAACCTCGAATACACCTTCAACTTGTTTTTGCAAAATCACTGTCAAAAAGGTTGAGTTTCCAAAAAATTATTCAATATTGAAAGATTCTGAGTACAGAAAATTTATAGTCAGTGTTTCCTTTTAACTTTTATAAATCAATCCCCGTCAAATCAACCAAGCA